GAAGAAGTACTGAAGACTTGGCAGGATCTCCAGCTTAGGCCAGCTGAGAAGAATGAAGAGGTTAGACATGAGGGAGAGCAAGAGAAGCTGCTGGAAGAAGCCTTCCCTGAGAGAGAAGGAGAGACCACGGCTCAAAGCGACCAAAAGGAGTTAGAAGAGATAATAAGAGCTCTTCGGGAAGATCTCCAGCACATTCAGCAGACTCTGATGAAGAAGGATGAAGAGATCAAATACCAAACAGACAGAGTCAGGTATTTAGAGGAGACACTGTCAGGGAGAGAACAAGAGCTAAGGAGGGAGAGCCAACTCCTGAAAGAATTAACATCAGCTTTGCGATGGAAAGATGAGGGGGAGACCCTAAAGAAACAAATCCAAAACCTCCAAAAATGGGAGGAAGAAGCAATAGAGAAGAGGAAAGTTCTCCAGGAGAGAGACCATCTCTTGCAAAGGCAGAAGGAGCTTACCCAACAATGGCAAGCTGAGAGGAAAGCCAGTGGGGAGGAGCTGGAGTGTGTGGCTGCTGCTTTGAGGCAGACACAAAGCAGAGAACTCCAATGGAGAGAGAAGGCCCAAGTCCTGAGGGCTGCCCTTAGCAAGAGTGAAATGGCCAAAGGGACTCTGCTGAAAGAATTAGATGTCCTGCAGAGAATGGTTTCAGAGCGGGACACGGACCGATTTCATCAACAGGTAGGCACTGGGATTGGTTTTCAACTCAAACATCCATGAAGGGTTCCAATGATGTTTCCTTCCAAGAGGTGGGAATATAAATTCCTGTCAGTACAAGAGCTGTTTGGGCAAAGCAGCCAGGTCTGCAGCCAGCAGCCTTGTCTGTCTGGCTCCAGCAGAGACCATTCACTGTGATAATGTCTCCTGGCAGGCCTGGAACAACTGACACAACTATGGAGCTTGCTGTTCAAATCAGCTCCAGTCCAAGAGCTGGGCATGGGGAACTGGTTCTGTGCCCAGGCAAGCTCAGCCAACACGTGGTGGCTTGGATTTGGCATGGAAAGGACAGGGAGCTGCTGACCAGACTGATGTAGTGAACTTAGCAGAGTTTTGTACCGATGGCTGAACAGCAGCTGCACTGCTGGAGCTTAGAGGATGCTCTCAGACATGGAGGTTTCTGAGGGACAGCTTGCCCAGTGTTCTAAAAAGAATGGGATTTATACCATTGCCCTGGTCAGGTTAAAGGCTTCATTGCTCATTCAGGACATGCTTGTGCCCCTGTCCAAAAAGCACTAAGGTAAATTTGTGTGGATTTCTCCAAGGTGAACTGATCCAGGTCCTGCTAGTGGAACAGCTGCAATAGCCTGTGCTGCAGCTTTGCCAGGAATTTGCCAATATTCTGGCATTCCATTAGTGTACTGATGTAGAGAAAAACTACCAAGTAAACACTGTATTTATGCATTATACGTTTACACATGATTTGAGAAGTATTACTGGCAGCCTGATCAGGATGCTGACAGGTCCTGTGACCTGCTGATGGGAAGCAAAGAAGTGACAAGTGCAGGAAATGTGAAAACAATGGAAGATTTCAGTTCCATCCACGTAGATCAGCTGGGCGAGAGCAGGTGATCAGGAAATGCAGTTGCATCCACAGAGATTGGTTTAGTGCTGGTGGCAAGACTACATTTATCAATGCTCCAAGAAGTTCATCAGGAAAGGCACGACAGGGGAGGTGACTCCTGACTAAGTTCAGAGCAGTGCACATGGCTTGATTGATAATGTGATTTTTTTCCACAGAGCAGTCCTGGATGAGGATGTAACAGGTAAAGAGAACAGAGAACAAACCTGTAGTGTCCAGCCACTGCAGAAATACATACTTCACCCACAGCTTGCACATGTTTGGTTGTCTAAGGACAGAGAGTAGAACTCCAGATAGGAGGATGTACAGTGGGAGTCAAAGAGGATGACCAAAGGTGGTAAATAACTTCCCTAACAGGAAGGTGTAAATGTGGAAGTCTTCACGATGGGCATGAAATGGCTGAGAGAGGGAGCTGGAGACACTCTAGAACTTTGTAAAACTATGAAGTGGCTGAATAGGAAATGAATGTTTGCAGTCTCTCTCAAAACCAGAATGGGCGACACTGAACAAAAGTAGCAGAAAGCACATCCAGAACAAACAGCTCACTTCTCCAAGCTGATT